AAGCTGATGATTCTGATAAAATGACTTCATTCTAGATTACAAGATGTTTCTGGAATAGTTGTAAGGGGTTAACTCACCTCTGGAGACACAAACGTGAAAGTTTTTCAAGTTTGTTGAAGAAATCTTTAGATAATTGAAGTTTATATGCGTTAGCAAGACTTCTGGAGTGAGATTTTAGCAGTTATCACAGTTTTTTTTCACTTTGTTCCACTTTGACTTCGTGATTACGTACGTCGTCACGGGAAAATACACTCGCCTTGGTTTTTATTAATAGCTGTGCGTCACGCCTGCAGGAAAGGAGAGAGGAATTTGAGGAAATGACGCATTCGAGAAAGTGACGCGGCGTCATTGCGCTGGTGGCGGCACCAACCGCCGGCAGAGAGGGGGAACAAGCGGGAAATTTGAATTGAAAATTTAATTATCACGTTTATTCCTCATTGGTCCAGTCGACTCAGATCACTAATTCAAATTCAACGCTTATTTAATTTGAAATTTTCAATTATAATTTCTCTAATTAGAGCGCTCTAGCTCGCGTTCCTTCGCGTATACGAAAAAAAAATTGAGGAGAGGTGCGACTATAAAAGCATTTTACTGTAAGAAACTGGATTGCAGGTTTTCGCTCTGCAGTTTTGTACTCTAAATCCAGATTTTTCAATTTCGATTTTGAGGAATAATCGTTTAACTATAATAGAACTTAGAAAATCCCGTCTCTTGATTAACAAGTTCCATTGCATCCTCAATTAATTTCTTCCCACAAGCTCGAGCTATCCTAAAAAGAAAATACCTCCAAGAATAACTTCCAGGTGCAAAAAACATGTCCCGCACCTTTCCATAAAAAATACATTGATGCATTTACATTGACGTAAATATACTGTTTGTTAATTTTCTTTCGATGTATGGTTGTACTTAAATAACAATATAGCAATGCGGGAATTCTCTTATCTCCGCGATCCAGCTTGTAGTAATATTGCCTTAAGGGAAAGCCTTATCTAATAACATCAAGTATATTGCAAATGAGTGGTATATAAAGCTCATTAATATTACTGATAATCATTCGCATTGAAATACATCTGTTCTCTTCTCTGGGAAAAGCAAAAAAAATCTCTCTACATCATGAAGTTTGCATCAATTTTTGTGGTCATCGCAATGATGTTGGCGGCTGTTAGTGGTCAGCGCTGTTTGGGCAGACGAGTCAGGGTAAGGACCAACTTTTAAATAGATAAATAGATCGTTTTTACGCAGTTATGTTACTCTTAAGAATATACAAAAGAATGACTCCCACAATGTCATGGTGGTACAGCCATTTTCCTGCGTTTATTATAAACTTTTCAAAACTCCTTACTGATTTTTCCGATTTTTTTCATTTTCATGGCTTATTCCACGTTCCGTTGGCCTATTGCAACTTTTTAATAAATTTTCAAGGTACTTTTTTTACAAAACGTCATCTTTACCGATTAAATTACTGGTTGCCAAATTAAATAATAACCATATATTAATTAAATAAATTACATAAATTAAATGTAATCAATTAATTAGTTAAATAATAATATAATTTTAAAATGGTGTATTTTTTGGGGTCAATCTGATTAATAGTTTGCTATAACATTGAAAAAAAAACCGGTAATTTTGCCTTGGCAGTTAGTTAATCATGGTTTTTGCCTCTTGGAATACTTCTGTGGAATTGAATGGATTCGGAAGTCGATGTGAAATTTTGTAATACGATGTTGGATGTGTTTAATTATAATAACAATTTTGAATTTACAGTGCCGCGCTCATCGTCAGTGTTGTTCCGGTCTCTGTCGCAGGGGACTCTGTGCTTGTATGTAAACTTTTATTTTCTACTCTGACTATTTGATGAGCAAGTCTCAATCAAGAAATTCATTTTAATTGTTTTTTTTTCTCTATAATTAGAAACACATCCAGGAATGCCTCTCAGCTGGTCCGGCCTGATTGTACAAAGATTAAATTCACAGCGGCGACGATCAGCTGAAACAACACGAAAAAAAAAATTCTAAAGGATTTTAGCAACTTCTATGGACACACTGTAAATGAATGAAGATAATAAATGTATGAAAGCATATTCGTGGAGCTTAAACCGTTATTGCCAAAAAAATACAATATAATTGAATATTCATTGCATGAATAGAAATTTCTTGTTGAGAAATTCCTAGTAAAATTATCCAAAAATATTAAATAATGTTAACTTTATTCTGCAGATTTTGTCAACTTCCGTTGCGGTTGCAAAATTACCTTTTTTTCATTCGGATATAATAATAATAATAATAATAATAATACTAATGATGTTATTGAGATATAACAAAGGATTCCAGTAGCGAAGTGGTACACTATCATAAGTATAGTTTTCTCGAGGCCATTCTTGATCAATATCTCGGAATTGAAGGAACATAGCGAATTTCTTGTATAAACATCTTTTATAGAAAAAGATGAGAGCTACAAAAAAGGTATCTATGAAAATATCATTATCTCTTTTCAATTTCGAGAAATCAGCTGGAAACTGGTCTCGAAAAAAAATTTACTCATCCTAATTAACTTCA